GCATTATAATCGAATCATTGGAGTATATCTAAACTTACTCAATGGCGTCATGTGAAAACAACCCATTGTGATTTTCATCGTATATATATATATATATATATATATATATATATATATATATATATATATATATATATATATATATCAGATTTGGTGGTTTCTAAAATGTGTGCACGTCTGTTTGGCCTGGGTTTCATTACCACATCCCCCAGCATTCAGAAGAGGTGAAGCATTCACACTGCCTCTGTGTTTGAGAAGCTCAGATGCTGAAGTCTGATACAACATATGTCCTCTGAGAAAACCACTTTTTGTGGAAGACTATCTTTGTCATGTGACTCATGAAACCAATCCCCCTACCCGCCACCCTTTTAACCCCATCCCCCATACTGTCCTTTCATCTGCTGTGCATAAAGAATTGACACAACATCCTGCGGGCACTTCCTGTCTCTTTTGCTTTCATTTCCTGTTTTCTCTGGGCAGCTCGCAGAGATTCTGTCAGTTTTGGTGTCATGTCATGTTGGGCGATTCTTATTAAATCAAGCATTGTTCTTAATACTGCTATAATTAATAGCTGTTTTTTTTTTGCTGTGAGTTTTGCAACTTGACACACACCATTTCATACCTCAAGTTACTATAGTTGTCATTTTACTTTCACCTTTCTGTTCAGTTTTATTTTGTTGGTCTTTTTTTTGACTGGTGGTAAAACCACCCAGCACACCTTAACAACTACAATCCAGCATGTTTGTTTCGCTTTTACACATTTACCATTGGAAATTTCCCTTGTCTGTTGGGCTGCCGTCCCTGTAACCCTCAGTCCCTGACCTAGATTCAGCCCTCAGTCTCAGAGGACACACAGTAAGCCGCTCTCTCAGACAGCATACCAAGAAATGCTACTCAAACCAACAATATTGCTGTTGTTTATTTTGAGTCAAAAGAAGGAACTAATGAGAATAAACGGCTAGATTTTAGCCTTCACCATCATCCTCCATAATCTGAGCTGAACATATGAGCTCATTCTGAAAATGTATGTGGTAATTTTTCAGTTGTTCTTTCTTCCACTCTTATGTTACAAACCACACACCTAGCCAGCTTTTCTGGTTTGGGTTGTTTATGACAAACAAGTTTTACCACCTTCATTACAGGAAGATTGTGATATAATACAGGGTGTTCGTGGGGTCTTAAAGTCCTAAATTTTAAAAACTAAATTTTAGACCTTAAATTCACAAAAATATTGTAAATGTTTAATCATTTAAAAAAGGTCTTAATTTTTCTCCGTCAAACTAAAGCTACCCAGTTTCAACACACAACCAATTATCAACAATCCATCTAAATAAAAATAATTTATTTTTAATAAAATTAAAAATATTTTAATTTTGAAAATATTTCAAAATTATGAAATCACAACAGCTTTTAGACGTTTTTTACAGCAAATTCTCTAAATTTAATTTGTTAATCAGGAAAACAAAACTATAAATAATTACATAATTCTTCATGACAATGACAGGGCAAAATATGCCTTTATAGGATCTTCCATTTTTTACAGAAATTATTTACAGAGGTAGGGGGTGGACATAATACAATAGGCATGAAACTTAGGGTTATATATTAGAAATGAGTTCGGTTAAAAAAATGTAGAAAAAAATATAGACATTAAAAATATGTGGCTTTGAAATAAAATTATTTTGTGTTATTTTTGGCAAGCAAAATACAAATTCTATTTAGTGTTTAGCTTCGTATAAGTCTAAAATTTCATTTATAATGGTCTTAAAAGGGTCTTAAAGTCTTAAATTTTACTTGATAAAACCTGCAGAAACCGTGCAAAATACATTGACCAAAAAAAAAAAAATTTGATCTGATTCGGTTCCTCTAGTAGGGTGTCCACAGGGTCCTAAAAAGTTTTAAAATGTCTTAAATCCTAAAAGCTAAATTTTAGGCCTTAAAAAGTCTTACATTTACTGAAATATTGTGTTGTAGGTCTTAAATCTTTTTTTATTACTAGTTTTAAATTTCCTTGTAATTAGTTTTTTTCTTAATTTTATTATTATTGTAGAAAGCTATGTTTTGTTCTATTCTTGGTAAGGATTATGGAGTGTGTGAATAAATATATTTAAGAAATAATACAAATTTTTTTAAATAAAGCAATTAGACGTTTATAATGGTTTAGTTATCTTATAACTTAATATATTTAAAATGTGTTTTGGTATTTTGCAAGTGTATTGATTGTGTTGCTCCCAGTGTTTGTGTCTAGTGCAATAAAATTTGATCCGTCTTAACAACAAAGGCTGCTTTGTAGACTGCTTTGTGGGTTAAAAAGAATTGTTGTCATGTTGCCACCACACGGCTTTGCATTTTAGACTGGGTGTAAAAGGAAATGTGATGTCATCGTTTACATTTACTTAATGGGTCTGTTTTTTGTTCTGTTGGAACAATTAAACGTTTCATTACTGTGTTTTTTTTTAAATGGGCAAAACAAATTATATATTATTTCAATTAGATTTTGTTTGTTCATGGGATTTGAGTGCTTTTGAAAATTGATATTAAATCTTTATAATGGTTTAGTTATCTTATAATTTAATATATTTAAAATGTTCTTTGGTATTTTACAAGTGTATTAATTGTGTTTCTCCTAGTGTTTGTGTCTAGTGCAATTAAAATTGATCCGTCTTAACAACAAAGGTTGCTTTGTAGACTGTTAAAGAATTTTTGTCATGTTGCCGCTACATTGCTTTGCACTTTAGACCGAGTGTTTTGAAGAAATGTGATGTCATCATGTACATTTATTTATTGGGTCTGTTTTTTTTGTTCTGTGGAACAATGACAAGTTTAATAACTATGTATTTTTTTAAAACTTATTACAATGCTTGTTCATTTACTACAATTTGAGCTGTAGGGCAGTGGTCCCCAATCTTTTTATCATCGCGGACCGGTCAACCATCAAACGTTTTTTCCGAGGATGACAAGCTGACAATACATTGCTGCAACTCTGATACAAGTTTTACTTGTAAAGAAAATGTCTGCACTGTTTGTGTGTTCTGTTTTGTCTGAGATAACAAGTCTGCTGAATTGTGTATATACAATGCAAAGTATGAAGCTGATTGGTCAGTTCTTGTGCACCCGGAGCATTTATTCAACTGAGTGTGTCTGCCAAGCTACGCACCTCCATTGAAAATAACAAACTTGTGGAAACTCCTGAAAAGACACGATATGCGAATGCCCCTAAAAGGCTGCCATCATTTGCAATCTCCAGCAATCGATCTTCAAGGACAGACATGTTGAATTCACCTGACTTGTTGACAAATGGGTTGCAGATCCATTCCTTGGCAGTTTGCAGGTCTTTCACTGGGCCTTTTCCTCTTAGCAAAGAAACTTTCCAAACGCGTTTGTTTCTTACTCATTTTGCTGCTTGTGGGTTAAATTTTGCCATTCAAATGACAGAGATGTAAGCAAGTGAATACCGTATTTTTTTCCAAAATAAAAGATTGTTCAAACTTAGATAATAATTAAAACTGAAATAAATAACGATTTCTTGTGCAGCCTGGTACCAATTGATCCACAGACTGGTACCAGTTCATGGCCTGGTGGTTAAGGACCACTGCTTTAGGGTTCTTTTGAGGCAGGGTTGCAATGATTAGTGCATAATTCCGCTGTTTTACATATATATACATATATATATATATATATATATATATATATATATATATATATATATATATATATATATGTTTCTCTTATTTATAACGAATCATTGTTTTGCATATATACAATGCAATGCTTTTTAGTAATGATCCTGGGCTTATTCATGAATATAATTGTTTTGTTTCAAGGTATCAGATTATGGAAGCATAAGCATGAAAATATGCAAAATGAAAAACATTCTGCAGTTCACTTTACTTTTAATACAATAAGTGAGGATGAAAAGCTTGATCCTGACATCAGAGGACTTTTATATTACTGTACCATAGTCATTACATTCTATTTTAGAACACAAAAGTACAAGCTCTGCGTTTTTCAGTTCCCTTCATCCGGCCTTTATAAACATGTTTAGGCTGCTGCTGCTGCTCATGTTCTTCAAGATTTGGATCACAGGAATGCATCTAAATGGCAAGAGCGTGTGTGTTCAAAAGGTTGGGGTACATTACATGTAATTGTTTACAGGTGTTAGCGAATATTTATCAGCCCCAACCGTGAAGAATAATTCCTGGAAAAATCCCGTTACTGGAAGCATTTGTCTGGCTTCCTCTACCTACAAATTATGCTTGTGGCCTTGAGCAAATCACAACGTCGAAACGGCAAGCCAGCTAGTAGATCTTCTATAGATTAGACAATTGCAGAAATCTAGATGACAGGACTGCTGTACCTCATTGGGTTTTTATTGGCGTTAGGAATGCCCGTGAGACATTTGGGCATGTTTGCATAGTTTGAGGCTTGGGGGGTTATATTAGAATCTGGCAAACACTAAGACGGCTATCCTACTGTAAGTCGATAGCAAGGCCGAGACTTGTGCAGTGAGTAGGACATGTGCATTGTGGCGCGGATATGTTGACAATGACATACTGAGAATAATTGATGGGCATTTCTGTGAAGAGCAGCTGCTTTTGTCCAAATGCAGTGGTGACCTTGTCTCTGCCACATTGAAATGTGAACACCGGCCATTTTGTAATCGGTGACAGGCTGCCAAGTCATAGCCTTAAAGAAACACGTGCACACACACACACACTAGACTGGCAGTGATGGGCCCCTCCCTCCCCATAAGGCTAATATCAAACTATGGCTGGTGCCACCAGAGGGCTTTCACATAGGCCGAACAGCTGGGAATTCACCAAAGGTTTCACTTGACCTTCAGGCTACTAAGAATGGCATAGATGGGATGCACTTAATTGCACATTAACTTGAGCTAGCGTACATACAAGGTCACACAACTGAGTAAAAAGGAGTTTGTCTGTTCAAAAGCATTTCTGAGGCTGGTTTGCGAATTAACATGCCCGTTTTCTTCTCAACAGAAAAACAAGGTCCAGAGCGGAAGCGCATTAAAAAAGAGCCCACTAACACCAGGAAGTCAGGCCTGCCGTTTGGGATGGGCATGCCAGGGATCCGGGCCGGGTACCCACTCTCAGAGCGGCAGCAGGTGGCTCTTCTCATGCAGATGACGGCGGAGGAGTCCGTAAACAGTCCAGGTGCGTGTTTGTCATGAGCGCCACGTCTCGGGGGGCCACAAGTAGGAGGGGGGCCCGGCGGCTTCAGTAGCTTCCACTGTCCCCGCAGCACTCTTACGCTATGCATCATTTAAAAACACACCACAGCACTTAATTAGAATTCAATTAAACAAGATAACCCTCATCAATTTCCATTACTTCAGCGAAATGAACCTCTGCAATCTTAATCCACTGTTTTTCATCAGCCCTCTAGAACTGTTGATAGAGCAGCAAGGGACTTGAAAGTACTGTTCCAAAATAAATTTCTGATTCAGATTTGATTGGATTTGCGCCTGTGGTATCGCAATCTAACGTTGCAGCTTGTGAGGGAAAACAAAACTTCTAATGGCTATTGAGTTTTCCTGGGCTAGAGCATTTGTAATAAGTGCTATATCTATCTCTAGTAAGTATGTGTCTATTAGATTTGTCAAATTTAGTTATTCTTCCACTAATAGTTAAACAGATTTATTTTTTCCAAAACAAAAGGATACTGGAAATGCCAAAGAAAAATACAGCCCCACCCCTGCAGAGCTCTTTTGCATGCCAGCTATTGTTGTGCAGTCTTGTGCTTGTTCTGTATTGAAGCATCTCAAAAAAAGTCATCTAATGATTTTCATGTTGTTGCTAATATATTTTTCATGTTTGCTAAAAGAATAGTTGGTTTATTTAATGCAGTAAAAATTCGTTTATGACAGTATTAACCAAATACAAACAGTGAAAATCTGTTAAAATTGCTTAATTCAGTCCAAGATGTGAAACAGGAAGAAGGTGCAATTTGACGCAGGCAAAAGTTATCCGTTTAAAATGTTTGTGCAAGACTGCCATCTAGAGGTTGTACAAAGCTCAGTTACTTGCTTTAACTCTGTTTTTAATTGTCATTGGTTCTCACGTTTTTTCTTGAAGGCCCAAATGCAGGTTAATACCTCTACTCTACAGATGTATTGATGACAAAACTACTTAATTTAAGGAAACAGCTTTCAGCAGTTTGAAGAATGGCCCTTTTTTAAGGATCCATTAGTATTTGTATAGTTGTGAAAACAGACTTGAAAAAATTACAGGTTTCTGTTAGAACCCAGGTTCTTAAAAAATGAGTTTTAGTGGTGGATAAATGAAAGATAATAAGACTTGGCCTAACTACGATGTACTTCAAAACAGAAATACAATGTACTTAATGTGTTCATAATGTATTACAGAACACTTCTGGTGATATTCAGGTGGGATACAGGTAGGTTTAGGGAATGCTTTGGTGGTATGGGTAGGTTTAAGGGTGGTTTAAAGTGTAAGGGATTGTCAACAATGTAATTATAAATGTAATTACCAATAGTATCTGGATGCAGCCTTTATGATGCAAGCTGAGATTGCATCTCTCAAAGATGCAAGTATTTAATCAAGTATAAGTACAATGTTAAAACGTGTATTAACACAATAAGTACATTGTAATGAGTACATATACGTTATGGCCACTTACCCTTTTATTTAAAGCTACTTACGATTGAAGACAGATAAAGCAACAATGTGCAAGTGCTGTGACAAATCAAACAGTCCAATAGTGTTTCATGTGAAATTATTCTTAATGATCATGTTTAACTTTTGCCTCTAGTGGCCATTATTAAAATATGTTTTTGTAAGTAACCTAAATTAATAACTGATATTTGTGTTCAGACACAACACCAAAGCACCAGTCACAGTCAAGTCTGGGTCAGAAGGGAACGCCAAACTCTGCCTCAAAAACCAAAGACAAAGTTAACAAGAGGAACGAGAGGGGTGAGACAAGGTTGCACCGGGCAGCCATTCGTGGAGAGGCACGCCGCATAAAGGAGCTCATCAATGAGGGGGCTGACGTGAATGTAAAAGACTTTGCAGGTAAGTGCAGCTTTCAGAGATCAGTTTCAGAGATCAGTTGCTTTTTTTCCATCGTTTCATGTTGATGTGTGCTGTTAATATCGAATAGGACAGAATGATATAGATTATTGCAGTTTGGAACTATTTGAAATGCACATGAAATTCTTCCAGTAATGTAGGAATGCTTTTTATTTTAGGCTGGACCGCACTACATGAGGCTTGTAACAGAGGGTATTATGATGTGGCCAAACAGCTGCTGGCAGCCGGGGCCGAGGTTAACACCAAGGGCCTGGATGACGACACGCCTCTACATGATGCATCTAACAATGGCCATCTCAAAGTAAGTGACTCAGAAATTATACATTACATTTTTTTACACAAGATAGCACACAATTTTAGGACCTTGTTTTTATTGATTATGTCACACCTACATTCTGGTTTTGTAGGTAGTGAAGCTGCTGTTACGATATGGAGGTGATCCTTGTCAAAGCAACAGAAGAGGAGAGACTCCGTTAAAAGTGGCAAATTCACAAACAATGCTTAATTTGTTGTTGGGGAAAATCACCTACTCCTCCAGTGAGGAGAGTTCCTCTGGTATGTATCATGAAGTGCATCTGTTTGCATGTATTCCAGAAAGTGCTTAACAGGAAATGTTACTAATAAAAGTTCTTGTGCTTCTCAGCAGATTCTTCTGAAGAGGAAGATTCCCCATCGTTTGCCCCATCTAGCTCTGTCGATGGCAATAATACGGACTCAGAGTTTGAGAAGGGCTTAAAATTAAAAGGGAAGGGCATGGACCCACCCAAATCCACCACCACTCCAGTCAAGGATGAGTATGAGTTTGACGAGGACGATGAGGAGGAGCGTGTCCCACCTGTGGATGACAAGCACCTGCTCAAGAAAGAGTTCCGCAAGGAGCCTGTCAGCAAAACAAACAACTTAATCTCCATACCCAAGATGGAGGTCAAAACCTATTCCAAAAGCAACTCGCTAACACCAAAGAAGGCTGTGCGCAGGATCCTGTCAGACAGCAACAGCTCGGACGAAGATGACAGAACATTGTGTTTCACACCCACGACCACACCAAGGCAACCTGCACCTCAAACTAACATCAAGAGCAGAGACTCGACGTCACTGAATTCCAAGCAGCAGAAAGAGAAAAGTAAAGTCAAAAAGAAAAGGAAGAAGGAGACAAAAAATAATGTTAACAAGGAGGTGCGCTTTAATAAAGTGAATAAGTTCTGCACCTCAGACTCAGAGATTGGGGACCTCGAGAGTGAAGACGATAAAGGGTCCATTCAGAATACAAATTGTGTAAAGGACTCTTCTACATTGAGCCTTAAAGACCCCTCTGTCTTTACCTCTTTGTCAGTCACGTCTTCCTCCTCGCATGGGAGTTTGAACTCACAAAAACACACACAGTCTTTGGCAGAGCAGCACCCAAAGCAGTGGAGGACAGATGGCTGGAAAACAGTATCTTCTCCGACAATGTCTGATGTCAGCTCCCTTTCGGACTCGGTCAGAACACGGCTCTCCAGTGAGTCAGACTACTCATCTGCAGACTCCAGTGTTGAGTCTGTGAAACAGGTAAAAAAGAAAGTGCAAGACAGCAGAAAGAAAAACAACACGCATGTCAATGCGGTAGACAAAAAGAACTCTGAGCTTTATAAGACTTCAAACACTGAGGGAGCCATTTCGAAAGCAGACAAAGATGGAAAAGTGTTAAAGAAACACAAAGTGAAACACAAACACAAAAGTAAGGAAAAAGATAAGGCTCCAAGTGTGGTGTTGAGTCAGGACATGAATGAAAAATTTGTCAAGAGCTTCTCTTTTGACTTTGACGATACACGGCAGAAGTCGCTCATTGTTGAGACAGAGTCTCCTTCAGAAAACAGAGTCAAACTCTCCAAACATGAAAAAGATCATTTCAAGAAGGAAGACAGACTGTCTAAGGGTAAATCTGAAGACAAGGACTGGCCAGTTAAGGAAACTCAAAGGGTGGTTAAAGAGGAGAAGTCAAAAAAGACAAAGGAGTCAAACAAGGAAAAGGTGAACAAAGAAGAGCGGGACAAACCTTTAAAGACCGAAAAGGAGAGAAGCATAAAAGACAAGGCAAAGGAGGAGAAGCAAAAAGCCCATAAAGATGATAAAAAGAAGAAGTCAAAAGATAAATCTCTTAAAACTGACAAAAAGAATGAGCAAAAAGAAGAAAAACATTTTAAATCTGAGAAAAGTGTCAAAGAAGAGAAGGAAAAGTCTAAGAGGGATAAAAGCATCAAGGAGGAACCTGACTATGACGACTTTGACTTAAAAAATCACTTACTTGAAGACACCAAGATGAGTGCATCAGATGACCCCCATGATCGGTGGCAGTCGGATATGTCTTCTGACAGTTCATTGTATGGAGATGATAGCTGGGATACCCCGGTTAAAGAATACAAAGCGAATAATGCTGTCAAGTTAATTGTAGAAACAGTAAAGGAGGAAAGCAGGGACAGAAGGAAGGAAAATAAATTCAAAGACAAAAAAACAGATCATGCAGACAAGCGTCCTGAAAAGGAAACTGCATCAAAGAAGAAAGACAAGGACACATCTGACAAGAAAACTGAAAACAAAAAAGACTGGACGGACAAACAAAAGTTCAATTCTGGTCAGACAATGGAAAAGGAGAAGAAACGAAAAGAATCAGCCGAAAGCGTCAAAGAAAAGAAAGATAAGGATTCTGTGGACTGCGGCAGAGACAGAAAGGATTCTTATGAGTTTACTAAAGAAAGGAAAGACTCCAAAGCAAAACAAGAATCTCTGAGAGATGATTATGGGAGCGAGGCCTTCTTTAAAGACAAACCAGAGAGTGAAACCACTTGTAAGTCTGACCCTAGGGAGAGGAACCACTCTGGAAAGGAAAGGGAAAAGAAAATTGATGGTGTGGAAAAGAAAGACAAGTCCAAAGGTGAAAAACACAAGGACAAGCCCAAGGACAGAAATTTGGACCAGGAAAAAGAGAAACCTGAGAAAAACGCCATTGATCGATCACTAAAAGAGAAAGATCTAGAACGGGCCTCCAAAGACAAGCGGGATGGGGTGAAAGAAAAGCATAAAGATTCTCACAGCAAGGACAAAGAAAGGAAGATGTCATCTGAACAGAGTAAAGACAAAAAAGAAAAGGCATCCCTGGACAAACATGCTGACAAAGAAAAAGATTTCCTGGAATTTAAGAAAGAGGAGAGAAAACCTGAGAAGAAAGAGAAGACGTGGTATACAATCGCAGATATTTTTACTGATGAGAGCGAAGATGAAGATGACAATTATAATGGGGGTGTTGCAAAATTAAGCGATTCACTGGGACTGTCAGATTCTCACAGAAAAGATTCCACACCTGACATAGACGAAATGGATAATTTCCAAACAGATAAACATAAAAAATACTCTGAGGGGAAAACACATTCCATAGAAAAACAAAAGGATAAAGAACATAAAGATAAGAAAAAAGAGAAGGCTGCATTTGATGCTGGAAAAGAAAGAAAAGCCTCCATGGAAAAACACAAAGATAAAAAGGACAAAGATTCAACTGAAACAAAACACAAGGAACGTAAGGATAGATCTTCTGTGGATTCAAATCAGGAGAAGAAAAGCAAGCTGAAACTTCTTGACAAGAGGGATGTCAGTGACGAAAAGAGCAAAAACAAATACAAAGACAAGACAGAGCACTTAAAAGACCGGAAACTTTCAAAGGGGAGTGGTGAAAATGAGAAATCTTTATTGGAGAAGCTTGAGGAGGAGGCAATGAATGATTATAAAGATGATTCCAATGATAGAAATAGTGAAATTTCATTAGACAGTTTCACAGATCGAGGTCATGAGCCTGTGCTAAGCAACTTCTACGATTCGTCCAACATCAGCATACCTGACATGTCAGAGGAGAGAAGAGAGTCACTGTCTATCACTAATCCACAGGACAGGTTCAAAGAGAAAGAGAGACATAGACATTCCTCGTCTTCATCATCCAAAAAGAGTCATGACAAAGAAAAGGAGAAAGTCAAGAAAGAAAAGAGTGAGAAAAAAGACAAGTCAGAGGAGATAAGAGAAAGTTATGGTCGCAGAGAAAGCTTGCCCTTTGACAAAGAGCCCATGCCTTTAGAGGCTGATCCTTACACTTTTCCATATGGCTCCAAAGTTGATGGCGAAGATGACTTGGACAAGACTCTAGAGTTTGAGAAGGAGATGTCCAAAAAAGACAAGACAAACAGTATCATGAACAGTGATAAATTAAAAGACAAAAAGAAGAAAGAGAAACACAAGGAAAAAATAAAAGAGGAAAAGCATAAATATTCGGATGGATTGGGGTCCTTCAGACACTCAAAAGAAGAACAAAAATCAGGACTGAAGGAAAACACTCAAATATCAAGTATTAAAGAGAAATCAAAAGAAGACTGTTCTAAATTTGACGGCAAAAATAAGGACAGGATTAAAGATATAGTGGATAAAGACAGAACAGACAGCAAGTCAAAAGTCAAAGATGAGAACGACAAATTCAGCCAGTCAAAGGAGACAATAAGAAAGGACAACCGCCCTCGTGAAAAGCTTTTAGTTGATGGCGATTTAAGACTAACAAGTTTTGGTAAAATGCTAAGCTTGAAAGATCAGGAGATAGAAGAACGCCATAAGAGACACAAAGAGAGAATGAAACAGATGGAAAAATTGAGGCATCGATCAGGCGACCCAAAACTCAAAGATAAAACAAAGTCAAATGAAGAACTAAAGAAAAATCGCAGTGAACTCTCCAAAAAAACTGGTTCGGTGGATGCTGCTTTAAAAGAGAAGAAGATTAAAGAGATTGGCCTCCCAACCCAAATGATGTCACCTGATAGAAAGCCACAACCTATTGACAGTCAGAACTCAAAAGACTGGCTTGCTGGTCACCAAATGAAGGAAAGTCTTCCTGCATCTCCACGACCTGACCAGAACAGACCAACAGGTGTTCCCACCCCAACATCTGTGATCTCATGTCCAAGCTATGAGGAAGTCATGCAAACTCCACGCACGCCATCCTGCAGTGCAGAGGACTATTCAGATATCATGTTTGATGGTCTTGAGTGTCATAATTCCTCAGCCACCACAATGTCCATGAATGCTTGTTCCCCCTCCTTCTTTGATAGATTTTCTAACTCATCAAATACTTTCCAGGAGGGAACGTGTATAACACCAGCAAAGAACATGCAGTTACCCCTTGTAAGTCGCTCTGTCACCTCTGACGTCAGAAGACCACTTGATGTTGAGTTCAAAGCAGAAGCAGACAAGTTACTACGACAACACGTTCAAGAAGGCACAGAATTTGAGTCTTCAGCCTCACAACTTTCTGAGGACAAGATGGCAGCAGACAGACTTAATTGCCTTTCCTCGTGTTTTTCACCCACTGCTGACATGTCTCCCAGGCCTGACCTATTGCAACATGAAAGATTACAAGATGAAGTGTCTGCTGTAAATTCCATCAGTGATGGTAATGAATACTCAGGGTGTGTGTATAACAACTATCTCATGAAGCCCTCAACTCCAGTCCATAGACCTGACCCCCAAGAGCCTTGTCTGGATATAGCTGCTCCTCCAACTCCAGCTCCTGCAGCTCTGCCCCCCATGGATATAGATGATCTCTCAGAGCCACACCAGAGTGGACCTGGTCTAATGCCAGCTCACCCTGTCAGTGTAAGCGACTACCTACCTCCTGTTGTTGAAGAGCAGGAAGATGAGGAGGAGGAGGAGGAGGAAGAAGAAGACAATGATGATGATGATGATTTTGTTGAGGACCCCACAGAAAGTCACCATGCTCCAGAGGAGAGCATGCAGGCTAGAAACAATCCCACTTATTTACTCGGGATCGAAGAATCTGACAAAAAGGCTTGGCTTGAATGTTCAGATAGAAGAGATCCTGATGTGCTTCCCATTACACCAGCCCATCCACAAGACAACTACATGGAAAACTCATGTGATCAGTCTTTAGGCTGGAATTCAGAAGCACTCATGAAGTCACCTCATGAGAGTTACAGAGAGGTTGAGGCAGCAGTCTCAAAAATTAGCAGTCCATATTCACATTCTGATTGCGATTTGCAGCACATCCCAAATGTAATCCCTGTGACGCCACCTCATTCTACTTACTCCAGAGCATACTGTCCATCGCAGATTCCTGACTCTCATTATGAGGACCCCAAAGACACAGTGGAAGACCTTCCATCACCTGGAAGACCTGTAGCAGAGACACTGGAGTCCGAATCACCTCAGCTAGAAAATTTCTTCACTGATTGTAAACCAACCCCTGAGGAAAATCAGATGGACCTAGAGTTGCCATGCATGATTAAAGACAATAGACAAGAGTCTCCCACCTATCCTGCAGAGATCAGCATGCCTGTAGCCCCACCAGTCAGCGAAGATCCTGTTGTTTCATGGGCAGATCCATTTTCTGGTGCAGCTGATGAAATGGATGACATGGGTCCCTTCTCTATACCAGAACTTCCTTTTCAAGAGAAGGAGATGCAGGACCCTGATATAACAGCCCCAGAAATTGCAGAGAATAAGCATTCCCCTACTCTGACGAGACCGCCAGTTATTGAGACAAGCGAAAATGTTGAAATGATCAATGTTGACCTGTCAAGTTTGTCTAAAGCTCCATGTTCTCCTACAGTTGTGCCTCATGATGAATCTAGTCAGGATTTGGTTCCTCCAGTAAGTAAGGATGACTATACACCTCAATGCGAGTTGGAGCCAGAGCCTCAGAACATCCCAGATGTTCTTCCCATCAAAGAAACTATCTCAGAGGAAAGGGGTGGATTTGAAGGCATGGATATAAACAATGATAACTTGTTAGCTACTGAGGAACAGGACCATGAATACAGGAAAAAAGAAATAAACCCAGATGCTATGATGCCATCTGTAATGGTACAATATTTGGAACTGCCAGTCACCACAAAACCACATTTATTAGGACAAAACCCAGTGGTTGCTCTGGGGCCTTCCTGTAGCCCTCATCTTACTGTTCATATTCCAGCCGTGTCAATGCCTACCAGCACCCATGTATCAGAGACTCTTGAGACAACTGCCAAGTTGTCAGTGACTATACCGGTGTCTGAGGCACCCAAGAAAATTGAGGAAATACCTCAGAGAATTACCCGGAAAAAGGCTCAGATGCTGGCCAATCAAAACAAGCAGAGCGCCACACTAAGCTCATCAAGCATCACTCATTCAGTATCCTCATCACCAATTACAACGAGTGTTACCACCTCTTGTGTCACAGTAGAAAAGGAGAAAGAGACCATCAGCTCAAGTAATGTTCAAACATCCGCACCCTCTGCACCTGCATTAATCACAAAAACAAAAGGCAGGCCCATTGAGGATGATGACAACCAGTCCCAACATCCACGCAAGAGAAAGTTTCCAAAATCAGGCCAGCAGCAGGTGCAGGTTCAGTTGGTGAACACAGCAATGAAGCAGACTCGGGAGATGATCCAACAAACTCTAGCAGTCATTGTGAACGCCATCAAATTGGATGAAATCGAGCCATACCACAGTGACCGTTCCAACCCCTATTTTGAATACCTTCAGATCCGCAAGAAAATCGAAGAGAAGAGGAAGATCTTGTGTTACATAACCCCTCAAGCCCCTCAGTGTTATGCAGATTATGTGACATACACGGGCTCCTATCTGCTTGATGGCAAGCCTCTTAGCAAGCTTCATATTCCTGTGGTAAGACATTTGTTTTTATAAAGACCCCTTAACAGTGTTCTAACCAATTTAGCATACCATTTTGGACCATATTAAGACATTATATGTTTAAGCTGTAGGTATGCTTAGCTAAACAAAATTAAAATTCCGAGATTTCCTAAATAAAAAGTTGTGGCATATTTCCTTGTTATTTTAGATTGCTCCACCACCATCTTTGTCAGAACCCCTGAAGGAGTTGTTCAGACAGCAAGAGGCCGTGAGAGGAAAACTAAGACTACAACACAGCATTGAGAGGGTAAACTTTTACTCTTTGCCTTTAGACTTTTTTTGTTTTCTCCCCTCTATGCATCCCAGAGCTCATTTCAGAAGTCACCCCATTAGGATGCAATGATCACACTGCACAAATCCTTTGATGAATCATCAAAGGCTTTGTGTAATAGAATAGCAACTTATTTGAAATACACTTCCACTTCCAACTAAACAAGTGTATTTCAGTATGATCAGTCTCCTCATTTCATCTCATTTTCTTCTGATGTTCTTACTGCGACTACCAGACCTTGATCCCTTTAAAAGACCGGCTTTGTCCCTGGATTAGATGAATAGGGTATCACTGAATCAGTCGAATGTCCAGTCTAACTATAATTTTATGTCCCCTTACAGGAGAAGCTGATTGTATCCTGTGAGCAGGAAGTGCTACGTGTTCACTGTAGAGCAGCAAGAACGATCGCAAATCAGGCCGTTCCTTTTAGTGCTTGCACAATGCTGCTGGATTCAGAAGTCTACAACATGCCATCAGAAAGCCAGGTGAGGCTTCATTTTAGCTACTTTTGTTAACACATCCAAGATTTTACAGAGATTTGAGCGATCAACATTCATAACAGATGTAATTTCCCCATGTCTGTTATTTTGTTTTTTTAATTATGTTAATACTTTAAAGGTGCAGTAGGTGATCTGCCTAAATGCTAACCACTTAGCATCATATCTTTGGCACACAGTCCAAAGCCACGCCACCTGAAATCACAAACACACACATTAAAGATGACAGAGACCCACTAGATCAGTGGTCACCAAACCACCAACCTGAACAAACTAATCAAGGTCTTACTAGGTATACTTGAAACATCCAGGCAGGTGTGATGAGGCAAGTTGGAGCTAAAGTCTGCAGGGACACCGAGATTGGTTACCCCTGCACTAGATCATATCATTCGCCAGTTAGAAAACTTTATAGTACTATATATTAATACAATTCTGTATGAAAAACTGTTATATCTAGCACATTTTTAGTTGTGTAGCAAGCAAAACTTATCATAATGTGTAATATTTCATGCATGCAAGGATCGCTGGACTCACAGTCTCATGCGCTTTCTTACAGCTACTACTGTATGCTTAGTGGTTGGCTGGCGGCGTGCAGAAATTACATTTATTACTAGGCCACACAGGATCACAGGTTGTCATTGTTCAAAAATGACCAAATGTGAATATAAAACCAACTTCAGCTCAGTAAAGCAGGCTAGGCATGAACAGTGCTATTTACAGATGTTTTGTTGTTAAACTAAATTAAAAAACTACATTATCAATGCTGTAAAACAGGGATCACCAAACTTGGAGTATCGTAATTCAAATCTTAATAGCTGAAATAAAGAATAATAGCCTTTTAACTTTTATTTAATCTTTACAATGCAACTCCATCTAAATCCACTTATTTGTATACTCGTAATATATCTACTAAAAGACAGAAAATATGACTTTACAAAGTGTATTGTAAATAAATCAAATGAACACTTGCATATTAGTCAATTTAAAAACTAAATAATTATAACATTATACACATTTACAAAAGTAAATAAATAGACTCAATGATGGGCTAAAAATCTGGGCTACATTTCTGCGCGCACAGATTCCGCGTGGACCTTTATATAACCCATTCCTAAAATAACACAATCTACAATTTTAGTTTTAAAGCATAACATAACCTGTCTAACAGAAATACTTCAGCCATTGGTGTCATCCTTCCTCCAGTATGTAAAAGTAACTCCAATATTGATTCAGGATTTTAAAGTTTTGATTCAGCATTTGTTTTTACCGCTGTCACTCGTGTCCATGTAAACTCAGCGTATGCACGCGCATCGGCGGATCTGTGTGAACAGGGGTGCGCAGTTGTACAAATCAACATTTGCTGACATACAGTTAGGGCAACTTATCGGAATTATGCGAATTATCAGCTTGACAATTTTTAATTGAAATATTTTAGTCTTACCCAGAATAAAAAAATATATGTAAAGACATTTAGATCATTTACTTTAATCATCACTGGTGGAATGTGAAGAGAAACCACGGCGAATGAAGTTCTGCACAAGACTTTTGGCCAGCGGAGAAATTAAAATGGTCGTGCCCAACTGAGTCTGGTTCTCTCGAGGTTTTTTTTCTTCACTCCCATCAGGTGAAGTTTTTTTTCCCTCTCCGCTGTCGCCACTGCCTCGCATGGTTCAGGATTGGTAGAGCTACGCATCGATGAATTGGCTCTTCAGTGTTTGAACTCTCAGTAATGATTAAATCACACTGAACTGAGCTAAACTGAACTGAACTGAACTTAAACACTAAAACCTGAACCACACTGTTCTAGTTACTGAACCACACTGTTCCAGTTACTATGACCATTTATGTGAAGCTGCTTTGACACAATCTACATTGTAAAAGCGCTATACAAATAAAGCTGAATTGAATTGAAGAGAATTTCAACCAGCATAACCAAAATTATTTCTGAGGACAATCTGGCTCTCGGATAAGACGTTAAACTGAATTCCTGGCTCTCTGTGGTCATTGAAAATCCCATGGCACTTCTCATAAAGAGCAGGGGTGTAACTCCGGTGCCCTGGCCAAATTCCCTCCATCGGCCCTTACCTATCATGGCCTACCAATCATGACCTATCCACATGAATCTGCTCTATCACTGTCTCTACTCCACCTATAGCTGGTGTGTGGTGTTGGATGCTGCACACTGGTGGTGGTGTGGAGAGACCCCCTCATGATTGTGAAACACTTCCGGTATATGGCCATACATTATAAATGCGCTATATTAATACACATTACATTACAATCACCAACTGCACCTTTAACATTAAAAACATACTAGCGTGTGTGAATAACACGTTTATATTCATGGCAGTCTGAACTGTGAGGTGCAAAATATTAGTAAATAAAGAATTACACTGAAAATAAAATAATGGCAATAGAGGTTCAGTCAATCCAGGTTTTAATGTTGTCCATTCCTACAGAGACTGAGTTTAATTTGTAACAAATCTTGCTCTTCAGGGGGATGAAAACAAGTCTGTGAGAGATCGCTTCAATGCTAGGCAGTTTATCTCCTGGATTCAAGATGTGGATGATAAGTACGACCGTATGAAGGTGAGGAGTTTGCTCATGCACTGCTCAAAGCTGCCATGTGCAAGTATTAAAAGTAAGTCTAATTTTGTGTATCTTTATTCTGACAGACGTGTTTGCTAATGCGGCAGCAGCATGAGGCCGCTGCGCTGAATGCAGTGCAAAGGATGGAGTGGCAACTCAAGGTACAGGAGCTGGACCCTGCTGGACACAAATCTCTATGTGTGAACGAGGTTCCCTCCTTCTACGTGCCAATGGTCGATGTCAACGATGACTTTGTACTGTTGCCTGCGTGACACCAAGACACATTCAGACTCAGAGAGTTCGGTCTAATATAATCATCTATCAAAGAGACATCAAACAAAGTTAGGTAAGGGCTAGCCAGTTTGAGGAGATTTCTTTGAGGAGAGAAAATATATATTATATAGAAAAAAGGTAAATGACATAAAACTCATCCTTTTTTGCCCGGGGAGGAGCCGTCTTTTTAACGGGAGGAAAAACACAACTTGCACTTTTATCCTCAAGTTTTTATCGTTTTGTTTTGGATTGAAAAAAAGCAAGTCCGCTTTAAACCCTGTCCCTCCTGTCTTGGGTTATTTGGGTGAACATACGGGACTGAATTTTTCTCTGTCCCAGCCCATGCTAAGTTACAACAAACAAGGACCTTGAGACAGGTTGGTCCACCTATGTGCTCCAGAACAAGTGGACAGACACGGCACAGTGGTGGACACAGAACTCCGAACATGGCTAACACCTCAGTGTGCAGGCACAACAGAGACACGAAAGAGTGCGACAGGAGTGCGAGCGCACCTTCTCCTTGTTTGAACCCGAGTCCACAACGGCTACAGCAGTGGAGAGATTGGCTTTCCTGCTGTACGGCACCCCGTGCAGCCCCACATTCAGGGCAGGAAGCTGCATGCAGGGGCGAGCAGCAGCTCGGTGCCAGAGCCCAGAGTAGAGACTGCGTTCAGTTAGAGGGCATGAGATCTAGAGTGCCCTCACCAGGCGACAGCAGTGCATTTGGACCCAGATGCACAGTTGGATGGTCCCTAAACCAGGCCTGACATGCCCGGTTTCATAAGGAAAAGAGACTAATAATGTACGAGCAAATGTTGCTGTCACAAATCACGAGACGAGGACTTACAAGAGTATAGTTTATTCTTTTTTTAATGTTTGTTTTTGGTTTATGTCTTTCTTTACTCGGGCATTTCATTGTTTCCTTTCTGAGGAAGTGACTTGAAACACTACAGAGCCAACATTAGTTTAATGGAAAAAATACAAAACTGAAAAAAAAAAGAAGTATTGGGTAAATGATGTACAGTTTTATAATCATTAACCAATGTATTCTCGCTGCCTTCTAGATAATTTATTTTGCCACACATTACTGCACAGTTGTAAATAACTTATGTACTGTAACATCACTCAGTTAAGTGTAAAAAAAAATAAATGAATAAAAGTTATCATTGTATGTACAGTTCACTTTCGGGCAGCACTTCCCCCTTCCCACCCCCTCAATCACGCATACCACACGCATCCCACGGGCCAAAAGGTGTACACTTTGTCAGTATTTTCAAGACTTCCACTTCCAACGGTCCTCGCGGTTTCTGTCCAAGGCTAGTCAAAGTAAATCGAGATCATCACCAACATTTAGGAAGCACCGTTCCTCTCCTGATTGCTCTGTCAAGGCCACGATCATAGTTTTCAGATGTAGCAGAGTGATTATGGATTTATTTAAAGAATAGTAGAGGTATATTATTCATCGTTTATTACACAAGTATATATCTTTAAAAAGTATAAACCAAGAAAATGCCTTTATACAGTTTAACGTCTCTGATTTCTTCTAAAGCTGCACAAGTCATAGGACGTGATTTGGGTCTGTCCGAATATACAACCACCCCACGTAAGATGTAGTACATATTTGCGTTTATTACACATTGTATGATTATAATCATGGGAGTTTTTATCTTTTCCTTTTTAGCGTCTTGTTACGTTCGTTTAGGCATGAAAGTCACACACTCTTTTCTGCACTGTTCGGGAAATCAGAATTAAACGCCATCTCCTATCGTTCTTATTTCAACATCTGCATGTAGATTGACCTTTCTTAAACCCTAAAGCAGTCTGATTTTTATTGGCTAACACTTGATATATCGACACCCATCGTTATTATTGATTCAGAACAAAACACACACCCTGCATACTTGGATTTGCTATTTATAAACATGGGCTCTCTGACTGTTTTTCCATTGTTGATATCTTTGTGAATCTCCCCTCTTGATATTTTCATTTGTTTTTATCATGTCATCTATTTTCTAATCATCTTTAAAGTACATCGAGATGCTTACATGCATCTGTCAGTATCTAGGGGACGAGTGCAAGTGAGTTTCTTTCTAATCGTTTGGTTTCATTTGGGGTTGGCGGGCTTGAAATGTGTTTACCCATTCTCATTACCTGCCTGTACTTCAGCGTGAGGTTGTGTGATGTTTGCTTAACCCTCCAGACTAGTGTTTTTATTTTTTTCATTATTCTTTTCCTTCATGTGCGAGTCTGAAAATCCCACATGACGCAGTTCTGTATGTGTGCATTGAGTCTGGGTGCAACAGGTGTCACTAGTTCTGCAGGTATTTGTTCGGGATGACTCTTGTCCTGGTGTTTTGTGAGTACCGTGCAGTGCGAAACAAACCGATTTTAGCGAATGCGTAATACGAATAGCTTTCCGCTCCATTTCCGATCACTTTTATTTCTATTGTGTGGTTTCCAAAACAAACATGATCTCCGATAAGTGCTATTGGCGGTGTTTATATTCCCCCGACGAAACCAAAATTGCGACTTTTTAATGGAGTAGCCCCTGCATACCTACCGTTTACAAGATGATAGGCGAGCTTCCACTTCCCACGACCGGTTGACTTTCAAAAGGCTATTGGTGTTTTTATTCCCCCGACGAAGCCAAAATTACGACTTTAATGGAGTAGCCCCTGCATACCTGCCGTTTACAAGATGATAGGTGAGTTTAGGCTTCTCACGACCGATTCACTTTTAAAAGCCTGGGATTTTTGTTTCCCCGACAAAATCAAAATTGAGACTATTTAATGGAGTAGCCCCTGTATACGTACCGTTTACAAGATGATAGATGAGTTTTCGCTTCTCATGACTGATTTACTATCAAAAGGCTATTGATGGTGTTTTTATTCCCCCGACAAAGCCAAAATTGCAACTTTTTAATGGAGTAGCCTCTGCATGCGTACCGTTTACAAGGTGATAGGTGATTTTCGGCTTCTCACAACTGCTTCACTTTCAAAAGCTTGGTATTTTTGTTCCCCTGACGTAATCAAAATTGAGACTATTTATTGGAGTAGCCCCTGTATACGTAACATTTACAAGATGATAGAGATGAATTTCCGCTTCCGGCGACCGATTTACTTTCAAAAGGCTATTGATGGTGTTTTCATTCCTTGACGAAGCTAAAATTACGACTTTTTAATGGAGTAGCCCCTGTATATGTACCTTTTACAAGATGATAGGTGAGTTTCGGCTTCTCACGACCAATCCACTTTTTTTAAAAGGCTATTGATGGTATTTTTTTCCCCAATAAACCAAATTGGCAACTTTTTAATGGAATAGCCCCTGTATATGTACCTTTTACAAGAAGATAGGTGAGTTTTGGGTTTCTCGCAACCGATAAACTTTTAAAAGGCTATTAATGGTGTTTTTATTCCCTTGACGAAACCAAAATTGCGACTTCTTTATGGAATAGCCCCGGTATACATACCGTTTACAAGATGGTAGGTGAGTTTTGGGTTTCTCACAACCGGTTCACTTTTAAAAGGCTATTAATGGTGTTTTTATTTCCTCGACCAAACCAAAATTGTGGCTACTTTATGGAATAGCCCCTATATACATACCGTTTACAAGATAACAGGCGAGTTTCCAATTCCCACGACCGATTCACTTTTAAGAGGCTTGAAATTGTGAAGTATATTCGATTTTCATTTGGACTGTTCAGTATTCATCATAAGCCATAACTTCCGTTAGACTCGCTGCATTGGGAATAACTGACCATGAGATTGGACATAAAAGAAATCTTAACGCTTTTCTGTCGACTCACTGACCTCCGTCTGCAACACATTACCTCTATTGATCACACAGATTATTCCATTTACTGATGATATGCTAGATGGAGCCGCAATTTCAAGCCTTGATTTCAAACATTACTTTCCGTGAATTCATGTCTTCATCAATAGTGAGGCATAACCTATTTATTATCTTTCCGACACCTGTGGTATGTTTGAGTTGAAGGTCTCCGCTGTGTAAATTTTCCTCTTGTAATGCGTAAAACGAGACGTTGTACATAGCTGTAAATAATATTCCAGGACGTTTTGCACCCTCCTCTTTGTACTAGTCTAAACTTGCGTAGAATGTGAGGTTCTAACAGCAACGAGACATGTGGCGCTCGCTGCCGGTGATGTAACAATGTATCTTTTTTTATTTGTACAATGTAGTTCAATTGTGTACATATTGTTGGAGCAGCTACGGGGAGGGAGGGGTTTATGATGCTATCGTCAGTGCTGTTAAAGATCCAGTACTTTCACCTTTAGCTGTGTTGATATCCTGCAATTCAAAAAGCAAGAAACTGAAAAAAAAGAAAGAAAAAAAAAACGTACCGAAAGGAGAAATTCAGAATTGTTATTTTCTACACTTGCATGTACAGAGAGCGCGAGAACTGCTGTTGTTCCTCAGAGATTATGTTCGTAAATAAATTTTTGAAATGACTTTGCTTCTGTGCTTTGTTTTTGTGAGCTGCAGTATGACTTCTGCCACAAGAGGGAGCTGTCACTAAGACTTAGACGCCATTCTCGTAGTATGTCAATGCTTAATGTTATATCAGATCATTTGAGTACTGGGTACAAACATCCTACACATGGTGTGTTATATTAATATTTAATTTAATCTATATTATACAAAGTAAAGCTTTAACCCACAAATATAATCTCTCTCAAATTCAAATGAGTTTTATTGGCATGATTGCACAGTATTGCCAAAGCAATTCTACAATACATCAAACAAGAATATATCAGTAAAATAATTAAGAGGTACATATTATACACAAGGTACATGAATATAAGTAAATACAAATTTTAATAACAAAAAAGATAAATAATGAATAAAAATAATAAACAAATACTAATAAATAAAATGTAAATATAATTGTAATAATAATAAGAAATAAAAAAAATCTAAGCATAAGAAATGCTCTTGCTTTAGGTTTGTCTATTGGAGTTTATAGCAAGCTGACACAAATTTGGCTGCTGTTGGGATCATTGTGTTATTTTCCCAAAGAAATTTCACATCTGCCTTGTTGAGTCTGAATTATAGTTGACCAAGAGCCAGAGAATTGCATTTAATCACTGTATTTATACGGAATTTACACTACCTGACAAAAGTCTATCCAGGTTTTAGAAACAACAAATAGCTTCTAGTTAATCGTTTGATATCAGAAGTGGCTTATATGAAAGTCAAAGGCCTCTAGATAATGCTCATTTTACCACAATAAAATAAGTTTATGCTTTGATTTTTAATTCTTTAATTAGTACAGTAAAGTCTTACTTTGGTTAGACAAAAGTCTTGTCACTGAACAGAAATAATGCACAGTATAGAATATAAAGTCACGCTGCAGTGGGAAAAGAATGAATATTGTGTATGACTCTCATGAGCTTGGAGGACTGCATCCATACATCTCTGCAATGACTCAAATCACATATTAATAAAGTCATCTGGAATGGCACAAAGTGTTCTTGCAGGACTCCCAGAGTTTATCAAAAGTCTTTGGAGTCATCTTCAAAACCTTCATCTTACCTCAGACATGCTCAATAATGTTTATGTCTCGTGACTGGGCTGGCCAATCCTGGAGCACCTTGACCTTCTTTGCTTTCAAGAACTTTGATGTGGAGGCTGAAGTATGAGGAGCAGCGCTATCCTGCTGAAGAGTTTGCCCCCTCCTGTAGTTTGTAATGTAATGGGCAGCACAAGTGTCTTGATTCCTCAGGCTGTTGATGTTGCCATACACTTTGCAGATCTCTCCCACACCCCCATGTAACCCCAAACCATGATTTTTCCTTTACCAAACTTGACTGATTTATGTAAGGATCTTTCAATAGGTCCTCTGCAGTATTTGTGATGATTGTGATGCGGTTCAACAGATGATTCAGCAGAAAAATCCACCTTCTGCCACTTTTCCAAATAATCAACTGGAAGTCAAGTTATTTGTTGCTCTTACAACTGGGATAAACGACAAGACTTTTGTCAGGTCATGTAAATAATTTACGGCAAAAAAAATAAATAAATTCCAACTTAAAGTTTTTGTCCCGTTAATAGTCCAAATATCTACATTTCAAAGTGAATACAGGATTATTTCACTGCCCCCACTGGCAGATAATTTCTTTAAAACAAATTTATTTTTAATTTCTGTACCTGAATACTGTTAGAGTCCCCAGAAAACTATTGAAACCATCTTCTGAAGCTATTCAAATCGCAATATATATTGCAGAAAAACAAAATATCGCAATATCAGATTTTTCCAATATCATGCGGCCCTGATCACAGATTTTCCAATCAATAATTTTAACATTAAATGTTTGTTCTTGAACTTTTACACTAATCAGGTCTTCAAGACTATTATGAACACCGCTGTAAACACATTATGAATATTCCTAAAAACACCCCAAAAGTTTCAATAATGACTTAAGGTATTTTGACGTGACCTCAATATCAACATGTATAGCTATTAATAAATAAATTAAATGATTGAACATCAGCATGTCTTACATGACTTGAAGCAAAATGAAAAATCTTCAGACAGTTATACACTGAAAAAAAATGACGTCTGCAAAAACTGTTGCAAACAATTTACTTGTGTTGAACTTAAACAAATTAAACTTTATAAAATTCAACTTAATTTGTTTAAATTCAGCCCAAATAAATTGTTTACAACCACCTGACGTAAAAAAAAAAAATAATAATTAAAAACATTTAGTAAATCCAAGGAATCATCTCTGAAATTTTTTTTTCCAGTGTACATAAAATACAGATTAATAAAACTATTAAAATAAATAAAGTCGCATATTTGAACTCTTTTTATCAATTTATTTATTATTTTCACATCAATAATTTACAGAATCAGTCCAGCATACATGTAAACATTCTTTTCTAACCACCCTCCACTCCATTCCCACTCTCACAAGACAGAACATTTATATGGACAATTGTAAGGCATTGATGTGTGAAATAAGAGGAAATAAACAAGTAAACAAACAATGATGACAATTAAAAGATTAAAGCAATTAAGAGTCACATTTTCAGTAATGTAACGTCCAAAATATTTACTAAATTTGCCCCAAATCTATTCAAACATTGATGTTTTTAAAATGAAACATTATTTTTTTCAATGGGAACATAAGACAGAAGTTCTCTAAGCCATACAATATGACTTAGTGCTTCTACAGATTTCCATTGTAAATGCAATGCATTTATTTGCTGCTATCAGAGCCATTTTAATTCTTCTTTTGATTGAGCAGAAGAACTGATTCAGCCCTTAGTAAAATAATTCTTGGATCAGGTAGAAGGTTAACTTGTTAATAGTTTGTGTTATAATTTTCCAACAGGTTTAAGTTTGAAACATGTCCAAAATATAGATTGAAGTCAGAATTATTTGCCCTCCTGAATTATTCACCCCCCTTTTGATTTTTATTCACCTCCTCTGTTTGTTTTTCCCCAATATCTGTTGAATGGAGAGCACATTTCTAAACATGATAGTTTTATTTACTCGTCTCTAATAACTGATTTATTTTATCTTTGTCATGATTACAGTAAATAATATTTGACTAGATATTTTTCAAGACACTTCTATACATCTTAAAGTGACATTTAAAGGTCTAACTAGGTTAATTAGGTTAACTAGGCAGGTTATGGTAATTAGGCAAGTTATTGTATAACGATGGTTTGTTCTAGACAGTCAAAAAAAATAGCTTGAAGGGGCTAATAATGTCATCCTTAAAATGGTGTATAAAAAATTAAAAATTGCTTTTATTTTAGCTGAAATAAAACATATAAGACTTTCTCCAGAAGAACAAATATTATCATACATACTGTGAAAATTTCTTTGCTCTGTTAAACATCATTTGGGAAATATTTTAAAAAGAAAAAAAAATCAAAGGGGGGCTAATAATTCTGACTTCAACTGTATATAAAAATGTAACAACCTTAATTTTAAATCTAGAGCAACATTCTGACTATGAATCAATTATCCTGTGGAATTGTGCAGGTGTAAAATACACCCTGTGTAAAATATTAAACTGCGTAGTACACTGTCAAATCCTATTCTGATTCTTAAATGTTGCTGATTATGTCCTGTTCTACATTGGGAGAACATACTGATGTACTGTTTACTTCAAACTCCTAAATAAAAGCAGTTAAGCAGGACTGAATGCTCACTAATCCTATAGCAGAACCGTTTAACAGTGGAAAGTTCTGTCACTCACAATACAAACACAAATCAATTGAGTTTGACGCAACGAGCCTCAAATGGCTTTGGAGTAGGTGTGAATGGTCAATCCGAGTGTGGAATAAATCACAGATATTTGTTTGAATTTACATTCAATAAATATTCAAATCCATTTCTAGCCTTGGCCTTTAGCTCGTGATAGGTGTGACGTTGCATTTTCAATTTTCTCCCATGACAAAAATGGATTTAATTAGTATTGTCATTGTTTACAATGCAATAAATGGTTAAACATTTTGTTGTCCTCCATGGACCTCTTGTTGTAAAAAGTGCTGTGTTGCATGTTCACTATATGTGTTTAATCATTTTTAGTGTTAGTTTAATAAATTACAGCTCTAATAAATTAAAATGAAAATCATAAAATCATTCATTCATTTTCTTTTCAGCTTCCTTTATTAATCTGGGGTTTAACAAAGTGGAATGAACCACCATCTGATCCAGCATATGTTATATGCAGCAGATGCCCTTCCAGCTGCAACCCATCACTAGGAAACACCCATGCACACTCATTCACACACATACAGACAATTTAGCCCATCCAATTCACCTGTACCACATGTTTTTGGACTGTGGGGGAAACCGGAGCATTTGGAGTAAACCCACACCAACACGGGGAGAACATGCAAACTCCACACAGAAACAGAAAAGAGGCTCGAACCAGCGACCTGTGAAGCAAACGTGCTACCCACTGCGCTACTGTGCAGCCCAATCATAAAATCATTCATATATAATAATTTTATAAGTGGCAACTAAAGTAAACCTCAGTCGCTTGTTTCATCTAAAGATTTATAAAAACAATAATACTTGACACATGTTGTCTCTCTGACCATGTCCTCTGGTGACACATGTTGTCTCTAAAATCCATGTCCTCTGGTGTGACTCTCCAGTGTTTTCTTATTTTAAATTAGCATAGTTCTGCAGAATTTTTTATTACTTGAAGGACCCTCTTTAATATGCAACACATTCTCACTCCCAACTCGTCATATACTGACGCTTGGTCAGGAACCCTCGGCGTCAGTTATTGACGCACAGGGTACCCCTTTAGCGTCATATTTAGACGTGCAGGGATTCCCTATAGAATCTGTGCCTGAGCCTGAGGCGTCATATGGAGACGCTGGAGGCTCGTATAATTACCAATAGATGTCAACGCAATTTTTAAAACCTGATTTACGCCTATTATCTTAGTTTTCTTATTTTAAAAATATGTAATTTTTA